AAAACATTTATCAATAATACTGTAATGATCTATGATAATAAAAGCGACACAATGCTGATAAAATAATATTTAAAAATTCAAACGTACACCAATATTACTAACCACAGAAGTTTGAATGTTTTGTCCTTGCAAAAGCTTAAAGGAAACTGAGGAATTGACTGACAGTGTGTATTGTTCCGATATGGGTGGCAATTAATGTAAACAAGCAGTAATGTCGTTAAATAGGAAGAATGAAATAAAAAACGCATATACATTTGAGAAAGTAACCAGAGAGATCTAGTAACATAAAAAACGAGAGGAAAGTAAACAAGGAATATAAAAAATAGTGACAATAAATAACTAATCGGATATGATTTCCAGGTTCGTCAACAGAAAACGCGAGCCTTAAGGTCAACAGAAAATACGATCATTATAGAAAATATAGAACATATAGAAAACGTATAAAATGGAGCTATAGAAAACGAGATATTAAGGACTCAGAGCGGTGACATGGATAACCTATTTTCGTAATTTCCCGTTAAATATGAAACCGCTGCAGATGTAACTCTATTACTTCCTACTCTATCTTTTATGCTCTATGAGATGACAGTGTCCATTTCCTCTATCTCTGTGCGTCGCTCTCGGTAACATTAACCCAGTTTTGAGATCCATTATGCAATGAAGGTAATGGCGTTTTTAGAGATTTATACCTCTTGTCTTTATAATAGTTATGTTATAAACAGTTTTGTCGGTTACATAAATGAACAATTTTCCTTTTTCATGATTTATACTATCGGTCAAAATCCTTAGTCAAGTAGCCATCTCCCGGAGAAAGAGATGACTACGTCTCTTAGTCATCTGGATGACAGCCAGATGCCGCGTTGAAGTCTCCCTCGACCAATGCCTCATCGACAGCAGCTTGTTCGCTCATCAGCTGGAGGAAAATAAGAGAAAATACACATAAAAGAAAAACGAAAATAAAAAGTAGAATGAACAAACGACACATGAAGGATTAAATAAGGACAAGGTAATACAGGGGAAATCATTGAAATGTATAGATGACAAATATCAAGAATAATAGCAGAAAACCATTAACAAAAACATAGATAGAGGATCCTTGCTAAAAAAAAAAAAAAAAAAAAAAAAAAAAAAAAGGAAAACGATATTACAGAGGAACCGATCCTGCAGAGAACGGCGACTCGGCCGCTGGACTACAGAGGCCTTCTTACGGGATCCCCTCCTCCCCCCCCAACACTCCAATGGCATTCTATCCAGTTGAGGAGAGAGAGATAGATAGATAGATAGATAGATAGATAGATAGAGAGAGAGAGAGAGACAGAGAGAGAAGAGAGGGAGGGATGGGTTAAGAGAGGGAGAATGGAAGGAGGGATGGAGTAAGAGAGAAATAGAGATAGAGATAGATAGGTAGATAGATAGACAAACTGCTCAAAATTTATATAAATAATAAACGATTTATTCAGGAGCAAATATTGATAGTAATGTTAGTGACAATAGTAATAATCATTATAATAGAAAAAGCAACAGCAATAATAGCATTGATAATATTAGTAATGGTGATAATAATAATGATAATCATATCAATAATTTTATTGGTAATAAGAATAATGACAATAATAATAACAACAATAGTGATAATAACATTGATAATAATGATATTGGTGATAACAATAATAGTAATGATAATAAGAATAATGACAATAATAATGATAATAATAGTAATAATAACAATAATAATGATAACGAGATCCACCACAACAACAATAATAACAATAATAATTATAATAATGATAATGGTAATGATAATAATAATAATAACAATAATAATAATGATAGTAATAGCAACAGCAAAAAATAATGATAATGATAATAATGATAACGACAACAATACTGATTATAATGATATCACTGATAATGATAACATATGATAGTGATAATGATAATGACTAATAACTATAGTGATAATGATATTAGTAAACACACCAATAAGAGCCGTTATAATGCTTAAGATAATGATAATAATGATAATCATGATAATGATAATAATGATAAATTTATAATGATAATAATGATAAATTTATAATGATAATAATGATAAATTTATAATGATAATAATGATAAATTTATAATGATAATAATGATAAATTTATAATGATAATAATGATAAATTTATAATGATAATAATGATAAATTTATAATGATAATGATAATATGATAAAAATAATAATAATAATAACAATAATAATGATGATAATACTAGTAATGATAACAATGATAATAACTATAACAGTAACAATACTAATAATAATGATAACAACAATGCAAATAATGATAATAATGATAACAACAATGAAAATAATGATGATAATGATAATAATGATCATAATGATAATAATAAAAATAATAATAATATAAATAATAACTATAACAGTAACAATAATGACAACAGCAATGATAATGATAACCATTACAATAACAACAATTACAATGATAATAATATTAATAATAATGATAGTGATAATAACGATAATGATGATATTGGTAGTAATTATAACAATATTATAATAATTATGATAAAGGGAATGGAAATACTGATAAAAGCAATGATAATAACAATAGTAATAATGATAATGATAATGATAATCATATTAATGACAATGGTGATAATAATAATAATAATAACAATAATAGTAATGATGATAACAATAATAATAATAACAATAATATGCTACATGGAAACAATAATGATAATGCTAAAAATAGTGATAATTATAATAATAGTAATAAGGAAAATAATGAGAATGATGATGATGATGATGACGACAATAATAATGATAGTCAACTAATTAAAAACAACAACTACTACTACCACAAATAATGATAATGATCATAACAATAACGATAAAAAACAATAAGGATACTAATGATGATGGTAATAATATTGACGTAAACTGCAGGCGACTCCAGACAAGATCCACTCATACCATATCTCGAAGCTCCGGACCTTCCCAATGAACCGCTTGTCTGTACGAAAGACTCGTCCTTGTACAGAACACCCTACGTCCATGAAGTGCTGTTATTATCATCATTATTATTACTTACATCATTATCATTATCATTACCATTATTACTACTATTACCATTAGCGTTATTATCATTATAATTATCATTATTATTATTATAATCATTTGTGTTATCATCATTATTACCATAATTGTTTTTATCTTTAGTGTTATTATCATTATTATTATCATTGTTATTATGATTATGATCATTATTGTTGTTATCACTATTGCTATTATCATCACTGTTAATATCCTTATTGTTATTACTGTGATTATAATGATAATGATTATCATTATTAGTAGTATTATCATTATTATCTTTATCATTAGCATTAGTATTGTCATGCATTATCGTTATCATTATTGTTATTATCGTCATGATTATTATCAGCATGGCTGTTATCAATATCATCACAATCATCATAATCGCCATCATTAATCATATGAAAATTACATTTAACACAATTTTAATGATAATGATGATAGAAAAGTCTTGATACGTGCCATTATCCAAACCATCATCATTCTCACACTAAAGAAATTTAACTTTAAGAAGAAGTTTCCCCTGACACTTATTCAATTTCTTTGAACGTAACGAAACAACGTTTTCTTTGACGATCAAAATATAGGGATGACTAGTTAATCTTGTTCAGGGCGGCGCTGATTTAGCACCCAAGGAATAAAGGAAATTTGTATTCATAACCCAAATGTATATAAACAAATATTTACAAGTGAAACACAACTAAATCGACAATATAGTTGAAAACACTGATAAGATTATATTTAGATATAAAATAAATCTATCACTAACCTCATAAGCTTGGGGGGTTTGCCCTGGCCAAATCTTAAAGGAAACTGAGGGAGTGACTGATAGTGTGCATTGTTCCGATATGGGTGGCAGTTAAGATAAACAAGCAGTAATATCGTTAAATAGTTAAGAGTGGATAATAGGAATGATAAGGAAAAATGAAATAAGAGCGCACATACATTTGAGAAAGTAACCAGAGTAACATAAAAATCGAGAGGAAAGGTAACGAGGAATATGAAAAAATAGTGAAAATAAATAACTAATGTGAAAAAATATGTTTCTATATATCGTGAAACTCGCGTGATGTTTCATGATATTACTCATTAACCTTAATAGGATAAAGAGGAAAAGAATAACGAAGAAATAAAGAAGAATATAGAAAGAGTGAGACACAGACTTACGAGGAGAGAGAGGAAGAGACAGACAGACAGTCTGAAAGGTGCCTGCATATACACGCAATACTCAATCTCACACTAACAAAACAGGAGGATTAGTAAAGAGATAGTTGCGCTAGTTAGTCACAACCCTGCGGATAATGCCACCGCGCTTCACTATTATCGTTTTCTTAAGGTCATGCATCATGCACAAACATATTAAAATAATCAAACCGTTGAAGAAACACATCGATTCTTTCGCTTCCCCAAATCGCGGGTCCATTGACTCTAGGAGGTGTCTGTTTGCCCATGTTGAATTTCAAAGTGGCATGCGTGTACACAGACGCACACGCACAGGCGCACACACACACACACACACACCACTCGTACACATATACGCACGTACACAGCACACACACGCACATGCATCTTACCCCAGATGCAATATTCCGATCTCGCTCTTTGCAAACGCATTTCTTCCCTTCTATAACAGAATAATTAGAACAATGCTGCATTCTTTGATCTCTATCTGCATTTTATCCAATTTATCTGTATTTTATCCATTTTATCCAACTAATCATAATCTTTCCTTACAAATTTTAAATCTGGTTTCTTATCTCTTTGTACATTTATAATACATTTCCATGAACAGATAATCAATTAACAGACATGTTTGACGAAAATGCACCCTACTTTTACACACAAAGAAAAGAAAAGAGGAGGAGGAGTAGGAAGAGGAGGAAGGAGAAGAACACGATGAAGAAGAAGAAACAAGTGAAGGTCTGGATATCTCGGGTAAGTAAACCATAATTTCGGTTCTTGTGACAAGATGAAATGAATAAACCATGAACAACGTTGTGGCGAATAATGTTTAGTTCATATTCGGAGGCAACATATGATAATGCATAAGCGATCTCTAACAGAAACGGTGAATATATTGTCATCAATTATTCCATTCCGCGCCGTTGTCTATGGTTACGTTATGGTGAAAAGCTAACTAGGGATGATTCAAGTCATGCACAAATCGATTTATTTTCAGAGATTCTCCATAATTTTTGAGTGACATCCCACATTTCACTCCATAGAATTTATGTTGAGACTATTTCCAACATAAACAAACATAAACCCACACAAATACATAAACTCAGATTTGCATTTCACACGAACACATACACAACACATAAACAAAGACCAACGTACTCATATTGCGTTCAAGTTTCCGCATCACTCGCCTAAAAACTACTTTCGAGTAGCATGGTTGGTAGGGTGACTTCCTCTCACGCGAAGGTCCCACGATCGACTCCAACCGACGCCAAGTGACACTTGTGTCACGAAGGCGCTACTCTTTTCCTTTTTTTTCATCGTACTTACTGCATATATTTTAACGAATTATTTTTTTAAATCGTTTACGCCGCTTTTTATCGTACTCGCTGCATGCATATTAGGTGATTGGATTTTTAAACCGTTAAATTTAATATTGATGATAAAAATGATAGCAAGAACTATTGTGAGGTGTTCTTGGCTCTGTGGCAATTAATATATATGTATATATATATATATATATATATATATATATATATATATATATATATATATATATATATATTGGTGTGGATTCACAGTGTCTAGATGTTATGTTGTGGGAGCGTGAAGCATCTAGACAGAAAACAAGTACCGAGCACAATCTGTGGGTTTCCTTTTTTTAAAAAGTAGAACTCTTTTAGCTTTTTATTTATAATTAGAGGGCAAAGTAACATTTCTTAAATGCATTTAAAAAATAATAATTTATACTCATTAAAATCACATTCCTTGCAAGTTTTAATGTTATAATTGAATAAAAAGTTACAATGATCACTTGATTACGATGAAGCTTAGCAAATTAAGTTTATTTATGTGTATGAAGCATAATCATAAAAAGAATCACGTCCAGCTCCTCAGAAAAATGTACGTCACACACTTCTCTCACAACACAACAAATTCCCTCAGTTTCGGAGGCGTGGCCGCTTTCCAACGTTTCAGCTCACAGAGGTAATTTTTTTTTTTTTTTTTTTAGATTCGCGAAGCAGAGGCTCGCCCGGGCTATGCCTATTTGGGGAGCCCGGTTTTACAGAGGTAATTTTTTTTTTTTTTTTTTTTTTTTTTTTTTTAAAGATTCGCGAGGCAGGGCCTCGCCCGGGCTATGCCTATTTGGGGAGCCCGGTTATACAGAGGTAATGAATGACACACAGGGTATATGGTTCAGACTGAGTATATTTCGTGGTGTTTTTGGCGATATTTATAGTGTTCGTGGCGTCATGAACAAGGTCACAAACTATATATATGTCTATACATATTTTTAAAACGGGAGATTTTACCTTACTGGTTAATGCATATGTTTTTAAGATGTCAGAAGAAAATAGGAGAAATGAAATAAAATTCTTATTAAAATCGTATATAAAGTAAAGATAAAACTGAAAGCTGACCAGTGTAAAATACGGAATATTAGAGATAATAATGAAAATGGAATATAATATCTATCAAAGTAAAATAAACAGAAAATCAAGTAAACAGACATCGAGTCTGAAAAACGAAGCCAATAAAATAACTTTGTATAAAATCGAATAAAAGAAAACGGCTTTAAAAAGGGGGGAAACTTCACTAAAATTACAAATAAACAACAGAAAAAATAAAAAGCTAAACAAAAAGAACAGGAGCGAGCGACGGGAAGCGAGTGGCGAGAGGATGCTCTTGGAAACCCTAGATGGGGACGGGATGCCACCTTTTAATATCGTTGTAAATGCGGAATGAATGAGGAAGCTCTGTTAACTCGTCACCGCCCTCTCTCTCTCAGCTACTGCTCTCTCTTTTTCTGTCTATCTTTATATCTATCTGCTTATCTATAAGCAACTATTTTAAAAATTAAAAAAATGATTTTTATATTTATATGTATATGAATGAATAAATAAACATTCAAACATTCAAAAGAAAAACAAAAAAAAAAACATATATATGTGTGTGTGTGTGTGTGTGTGTGTGTGTGTATGTGTGTGTGTGTGTGTGTGTGTGTGTGTGTGTGTGTGTGTGTGTGTGTGTGTGTGTGTAAACATGTTTTGTGTGTATATATACATATGTATATATTCATACAAATATATATACATATATATGTATGTATACGCGTGTGTGTGTGTGTGTGTGTGTTTATATATATTGATAGATAGATACACAAATACATATTTACACACACTCTATATATATATATATATATATATATATATAT